ACAATAGGAAGCTATACCCAAGAGATTTACAAATAGAGAAGGGTTGCCCCTGAAGAGATAAGGGCCCCCTGTGAGCCACCTCCCTGGTGGTGGCTGCCCTCACTGCCACCTCCTCATTTCATGCTCTTGTCACTTCTGTGCAGAATCCCCGACGTACCCTTTCCTTTCTTAGGTTGGTCAAGGGTGGAAAGAAGCTATCAGCACTTGGTATAACTAAAAAGTAAAACCATGCTTACAGAATGTGATTAGTTATGGCGGCCAGAGTCTCAGACTTTCTCATGCACCGTCTCCTGGAGATGTGTTTGGCTCCCTTCAGGCACATCTCTATGGTGTGCTGCCTGCAGCATCCCGCCAAGCTGGATAGTTAGGGGTTCTTGGACACCTACCCTGCCTCTGGCTGACCTTTTCACCTTTCAAGGAAGATTTGGTGCATGGAGGTTCAATGTAATGAGCCCAACAACATGGCGACAGGATCCAGGGCTAGTATTTATAGGAAAGAGAGTTATCCTGGACTTACAGGAATGCCTGCTTAGGACCGAAGCCTCATGAAGATGACAGAAAGCTCTTCTCTCTTTCAGGACAAGCCCAGCCATGTGGAGAAGCCTGGGGCTCGCCCTGGCTCTCTGTCTCCTCCCCTGGGGAGGCACGGAGAGCCAGGGGCATAGCCCCTTCTGTAAGCTGCCTCCGGCCTGGAGCATCGGGGAGCAAGACCCCATGCTGAGCTCCTCCGGCTCCGTGACCCTGGTTGCCCTTCTGCAAGCCAGCTGATCCTTCTGCCTCAGGCAGGCCGCCAGGTGAGATGGGCTTGCTGGGCTCTGGGACCTCTTCAAGGAAACTTTGCTAAGTATACATAGGCATAAAGTAAAATAAAAGTAGAAACACTATATTTATGAAGTCACATTTTTTGAAAACCCATACATCTTTGGATAGAACATGTTGGAAGAAAAAAGAATAGGAGGATATACATCAAATGTTTACAGTTGTTTCCCTGGGACTAGGACAAGTTTTTCTTCCATTTGTGTACCTGTATGTTATACCGTCCTATTATTTGTGTAATGGAAATGTTCTAGAATGTACTCTGCAAATGCCTTAATCATTTCAAGGCAACAAACAAAGACGAAGGAACACTGGAGTGACTAGACTTGCCACAAAAGTCTTGGGTCACTTAACAAGCATGTAAATTCACATACACCCATTAAATCTACATAACAAATATGTGTAAAAATATTTGTTGGGTTATTTGCTAGCTATTGACTGGGTAGAACCCTTGGTAAGATGGATTAAAAATATACACTTCATAGGATTAATTTGAGAACAAAATGAATTGTTTGTGCAAGCATTTAGCATAAGGTTTTAACTGGGCACAAGTGCTCAGTAAATAATTTACAAAGTGGAAGTTTTAGTCCTTTACAACAATACAAAGGGGGGGGGTATGAGTAAGTAAAACATAGTAAGAGTGTTTCATGTAGAAAACAAAGAGTGAGGAGAAAGAGATAAGTCACTAATAAAATTAAGTGAGATTATTCTTTTTATTTGTATTTTCCCCAAATATTTTAGTTTGGAAGACCTGCGAGTAAAGCTGGAGAAAGAAGGTTTTTCTAACATCTCCTATATTATTGTTAATAATCAAGGACTCCCTTCTCGATTAAAATATAATCTGCTTAAAAATGAGGTTTCAGAGCATATTCCTGTTTATCAACAAGAAGAAAAACAAACAGATGTCTGGACTCTCTTAAATGGAAATAAAGATGACTTCCTCATATATGACAGGTATGTATGTTCACACACGTGAACCCACACAGACCCAAACACACTACCAGAAATTAAAGATGCCTGCTTGTATTTAATTTAATAGAAATTGATTTGAGATACGACCCTTGCTTTTATTTTATTACCAAACTAGAGGCCCAGTACATGAAAATGTGTGCACTGGGGAGGGTTCCTCAGCCCAGTCCAGCCTGCCCCCTCACAGTCCGAGAGCCCCCAGGGGATGTCCTGCTGATGGCTTAGGCCTGCTCCTTGGGGCGCTGCCTCCATCACCCCGCTGCTGCTGCCACTGCCAGCTGCTGCACCTGCCAGGCCTTGGCCCTTGCAGCCGCCAAGGTATTTTCATCAATATGGACTCTAGTCTCTTCACCACAAAAAAATGACAACTTTATTTAGGCATTTTCAAGATGTCTCTTTCATAGGATATGACAATTCTTTCTTTTTTTTTTTTATCCTCCCTGGGGATATTTTCCCATTGACTTTTATTTTATTTATTTATTTATTTATTTATTTATAATATATTTTATTAATTTTGTACAGAGAGGAAGGGAGAGAGATAGACAGAAACATTGATGAGAGAGAGTCATCGATCAGCTGCCTCTTGCACACCGCCTACTGGGGATATGCCCGCAACCAAGTTACATGCCCTTGACTGGAATCGAACCCAGGACCTTTCAGTCCCCAAGCCGATGCTCTATCCGTTGAGCCAAACCGGTTTCGGCCCCATTGATTTTTAGAGAGCATGGAAGAGAGAGGGAAAGACAAAGAGAAACATCAATGAGAGAGGGACACATTGATTGGTTGCCAGCAGCGGCGGCTGCTGTTCAGGCCTTCCCCTGGTGCAGGCACATGAAGGCCCCCCCCCCCCGAGACCCCACCCCCAACACTGCAAGTCCCCACCCACCCGCACCTACTGCATGCATAGCTTGCTGATCAGTTGTTACTGTGACAGCGTCCTGAAAAATTTGCATATTCCTCTATTATTAGTACATATGGACCACTGACCAAGACTCTAGGATGTATTGTTAGGCTGTGACTTCTCGTGTGGACTTCATGCTACCTTGGCAGCTGTGAGCGGCACATATGATTTGCAGAGATTAATTTCTGATGTCAGTGGCTTGGGCATGGGCAGAACTTTTAGATCAATTATAAATTGTATTTGACCAAGTCACAATGACTAGACTACAGTTTTGATACTGTTCATAGCAATATATCTGTAACATTTCTAAAAGCTAGTGGTAGACTCACTGCATCTTGCTCTGACCTGAGCTGGCTGAGAGCTTGAGACCCGCCAGAGGACCATTCCTGTAGGTCCGTCCTGTCTTAGTTATGAGACCCCTGACCCTACACAGCCTTCTTCCAACTGCGCTGGGGCCGGAGCACGATAGAGAACACTGTGATGACGCCGGGCCTGTCCTTTCTTCCAGGTGTGGCCGCCTTGTGTATCACCTTGGCCTGCCTTTCTCCATCCTAGCGTTCCCGTACGTGGAGCAGGCCATTAAGAGTGCTTACTGTGAAGAGAAATGTGGAAACTGCTCTCTCACGGTATGTCCCTCAATGATTTTTACTGGGAGAAAAGAGGAGATCTTTAAAGAGTTATCGAAATAAGTTAATGTTTCATGACCAACTTAGCTGGTCATTGTTGGTGTACTAAAAAGAAACTGCAACAGGAATTTTTATCAGCACACACACTCCTTGTCATGTAACCTATTCTTTAAGATATCTTTTCAAGATCCATATTGCTGCTTTGGTGTAGAGTTTAGAGATTAAAAAACAATGTAGATCACATGTCTCAGTTACCAGCAAATGATGCTGCGAGAGGGTAAGTGCTCCAAGAACTCAGCCAACATACAGGCACATCAGTGTAAGATCCTGAGCGTGGTCCATGCAAGAGCTTAGAGACAGCAAAGCGTGACCACAGTGTGTTGCCTGAATTGGAGCGGGGCCCAGGGAATGTCTTCATGGAGCAAGGGTGTGAGGTGTTCAGCTCTTCCCAAGGTCTTAGCTGCCTGCCATCCTGCAGATGGGTCATGGCATTTACTTTGAAATGGGATAAATTTTCTACTCGTTCCCGAGATTTCTTTCCCAACACACAAAGCCAGTTCCATCCTAGTGAACTAGTTGAAGTTTCATGGTAGCTCTGCAGATCATTGTTCGCGCATTCACGCTGAATCTATACAGGTGTTGATGAGAGATTGATAAACTTGTTTCAGACATTGGAAGATGAAGACTTCTGTAAGAATATGTCTTTGGCTACTATGAGAAAAACCACGGAGGCTCCGGAGCCACAACACCATCACCATGGCCACCATCACCATGGCCACCATCACCATCACCATCACAAGCATGGGCATCAGCACGTTCCCACCGCCCAGCCCTCTGAGAACCAGCAGCCGGCGGCACCAATGGCGTCTGAGCACGTCCCTCTTCCAGGTCTTCACCACCACCTGAAGCTCAAGGGCCCCCAAAAACAGGGTCACCCCGTGCACTGAGACGAGGCAGGAAGTGAAAGTTTATCCCCCTCTTCTCCACAGCAGAAACTCTGAGGAAAGAGGTGTATAAACCAGTTACTCTGAAAGTTGCCCAGAGAGTCAGAGTCAGCCGCTAGCAGCTGATGCTGACACTGTCGCCATCTGGCATTTGAGCGCACAGGGTCCGCAATCACCTGACAGTGTAGAGAAGCCCTCCCCTCTTTATGCAGCTGAGTGGGGCTTTGGGCCGAGGAGGAGAACGTCATTGAGTCTTGACAGTGACGCTTGCCTCCCGCTGCCTGACAGGCAGGTCAGCTCGAGCCCACAGAAGCCAGCACCACCTGAAGCTGAAAATCCGAGGCAGAAATGTGACAGTGACCTTCAAACTAAATATCTAAACTAGGATATACTCCCAAGTCAGTCTAGACATAATTTGACTTAGCATATTTATAAACTACTTAATAAATGACGATAAAAGGAATTGGATTTGTGCAAACATGAAGAAATCTATGATATTGACTTCTAAATTTTAAGATTTATGCCACAGAAAAATTTGACCCAAACCATTTTTTTTTTTTCATTAGAGGGCCACTGAAAGGTGATTGCAGAGCCTGGTTAGTCTGTCTGTCTTTTTCTTTTTCCAGTATTCTAGTTGCATTAATGAGAACAGGAACATAAACTATGACCTAGGGGTTTCTGTTGGATAGTTAGCAACTTAGAATGGAGGAAGAACAACAAAGACAGGCTTTCCATTTTTTTCTCTCTTAATTCTCAAGACAATGTTACCTTTGTCTTTTCAATCTTACAGTTTTAACTGATTCTACCTTTAAAGGAAGAAGTGAATTCTTGAGTACCTTGCTACTGACTACATTTTAAATATCCATTTATACTTTTTTATATCTAAGACTCAAATCTTAAATTTTATTTTCACCTATGAAAGAAGGCTTTATTGTTTTCTTTACCTCGCATTGTATTAAACTCTTTAAGATTCGAGAATGCCTGTCTTGAAAGATATAAGGGGAAAGAGAAAAGAATGTTGTCTATCTCTTGATTGCTAAGTAGGTATTTCCATAGTCAATGATGGCTCACTAGGTAAACTCAATCCTATGAGCCTGAACTCTGTTATGGTTAATACTGTTAAGTAAGAATGCAGTGTACAGTTGGCCAAAGAGTGGATTTATTTCAATAAACTCAATTTAAAATGTTTAAAGCTGTCTCTTTCATTGTTATTACTTAGGCAGTTTATTATATTGACAACAGAAGTAAATTTTTCAAAGGCTTTTAAAGAAGTTAAGTAGCTGCCGAAACAGGTTTGGCTCAGTGGATAGAGCATCAGCTTGCGGACTGAAAGGTCCCTGGTTCCATTCCAGTCAAGGTTCCATTCCTTGGTTGCAGGCACATGCCCAGTAAGGGGTGTGCAGGAGGCAACTATAATAATCGATGATTTTCTCTCATCGATATGTCTAATTCTCTATCCCTCTCTCTTTCTCTCTGTAAAAAAATCAATAAAATAGCTGAGACCGGTTTGGCTCAATGGATAGAGAGTCGGCTTTGGGACTGAAGGGTCCCGGGTTTGATTTCGGTCAAGTGCATGTACCTTGGTTGCAGGCATATCCCCAGTAAGGGGTGTGCAAGAGGCAGTTGATCGATGACTCTCTCTCATCGATGTTTCTAACTCTCTATCTCTCTCCCTTCCTCTCTGTACAAAATCAATAAAATATAATTTAAAAAAAATCGATAAAATATAATTAAAAAAAAGAAAGAAGTTAAATAGCAACAAATGAATTAACTGCTGGCCTTAAAACCGTCTACGTTTAAGATGAGGATCCTTGCCAACGGAGAGGCGCTGCTCGAGGTCTCGAATGGTATTACGAAGAGTTGTAATCTCTTTGTTTTTTTCTTCTTGAAGATGTTGAAGCTTCTAAATGAAGCAAAAAAAAAAATTTGCTATTGTAATTCAAAAAGAATAAGATTAAGTACACGGAACAACAACAACAACAAAAACAACAAAAACTAATGTTCTAGTTTAAGTACAATAGAAGCAGGTATTCGAAAAAGACCTTACATTTCAAAAGGTGTAATTTTGTTTTTATAGTACATAGTGGGGGTAAAATTGGCATAAGGATGCAAAAACACACATTAGCACCATTTGTTTTAGTTTGCTCCCTTCTCCCTATAGAACTTGAAGTTGTAAAGAGGGAGTTGAGCAAAAAGAAATCTACTGTGTGCTGAAATAGCTTCAGAAGTCAGTCCGCGTTAGTGCAAAATATATCACAGAATTCTTTAGACCATCCGGAGTCAGAGGACTGCTCTAGAGTTTTAATTCGTCATGAAGACTTATGAGTTTAAATTGAAAGTGACCTTTAAGGATTATTCATAATCTAATCTTTCTGATTATATGATATATTTTAAGAAATGTATTAAGTATATTGCTAGTAAATAGTGACAACTTTTATGGGAAGAAACTAAGAAACTTTATTTTCCTAAGCATGGAAGAAAAACTTACCCTTCTGTAGATACTCTGTGGCAAAACAGTAGAATCTTGATATGATTTTGGCTTAGATTGAACTCTTGCTAGTTTGGCATCAAACTGAATCAAGTTTTAAAAGAAAATTATTGGGAATATTCTAGTTAAACAATTAGAAAAAATGTCTCCAAAATTATAAATACAATCCATTATATCATTTGACATTTAATCTTTATTCCTATATAATAAAAGCCTAATATGCTAAGTGTCCGGTTGACCAGTCAGCCATTCAACCAATCAAAGCGTAATATGCTAATGATAAATTAAGGCTGCTTGCTATGATGAGCACTAACCACCAGAGGGCAGACAGTTGACCAGTCAACCAGTAGCTATGATGTGCACTGACCACGAGGGGGCAGATGCTCCGACCAGTGTTAGCTTGCTGCTGGGGTCCAGCCAATAGGGACTGAGTGAGATGGGCCAGACATACCCTGGAGCCCTCCCCTGGTGCCTCCCCAGCTGGCCAACCTCCTGTGTCCCTCCCCTGCCACAATCATGCACCTGTGGAGTCCCTTGGCCTGCACCTTCTCACAATCCAGGACCCTTCAAGGGATGCCAGAGAGCCGGTTTTGGTCCTCTCCTGCAGGCCAGGCCAAGCGATCCCACTGGTGCATGAATTTGTGCAGTGGGCCTCTAATTAAGTATATTCTCGGTGTAACAGAAGATAGGAAAGTGTTTAAGAAAGAGCAAAGAACACCCAAATAAGATTAACCCTGGCTGCATGCTAAGGTTACCTGGGGAGCTTTTTAAAAGTACCCAATACTGGGCACTACCCTAGAGATTCTAGGTTGGGTTAGCATCATCTCTCCTTAGAATATCAAATGTTTCTATCATGCAGGGCTAAGTATCTAGTTAAGAGGGTTGAGAATCTAGTTAACCTAAAGTGAGATAATATTTCACATTACTTTGAGTGCTTTTAAAAAAAGTATTTTTAATTGGCTTTAGAGAGGAAAGGAGAGGGATATAGAGAGAGAAACATGAATGATGAGAGAGAATCATTAATCAGCTGCCTCCTACATGCCCCACACTGAGGATCAAACCCAAAATCTAGGCATATGCTTCAATGGGTAATCAAACTGTGATCTCCTGGCTTACAGGTCAATGGTCAACCACTGAGCAACACTGGCTGGGCAAAGTGTTTTTGTAAAGAAAATGTAGGCTAATTAACAATCATGGGAGAAAACTCATATACTCTTCTGTACAGATTTTGAGACAGAATAATAGAATTTGGATTTGTTTTCATTGATTTAGTTTGAACTCTTGCTACTTTGACTTTAAACTGAGGCAGGTTTTAAAAACAAATTTTCGTAAGGTCATTCTCATAGGCCTTATTTTTGGCAAAATCTCCCATTATAATTTTCCCTTCAGGTTGAGTGTAGTGCAGCCCCCCTGTGGACTAACAATAAACTGTCTCTGAGATTGTGTTCTGGTTTGGGGAGAGAAGTGGATCATGACAATGAAAATAAACAGCAGGAGGAGTTCTGTCAGTAACACAACGGACTTGGGTGAACAGGGTCCGGATGGCAAATGAAATGCACACCCTAGGCAAGGGATGGGAAGTTAACAGCAGCTCCTCTGTATCTCAGCTGCACAGTCAGCTTTCTGTGGTGTGTGGGTCACTTGATGGAAGGCAGTAGCAATCACAAAGCACCTCTGAAGTCAACATAGTCATCTTTTGCTTAATGGTTATACACGTTTCAGCACTGTACCTTACCGATAACCCCCATGACACTAAACTAGCTGGAACATGAAAGTGATCTTAACTGATGGTGAATTATGACACCATAAGATAAAGTGGGAGTCAGGCTGGGGAAATGTGATTAAAAAAAAGATGGAAAGGGAGATTAGTAAAATTTAGAAAAAGCTTCAAGGAACCAATATATTATCAAATATTCGTATCTTTATATTTTGACACCTGGCTAAGGAATCTACTGAAGGGCTCTCCAGTCAAGAACTAGAATCTCAGCCGAAGCCGGTTTGGCTCAGTGGTATAGCGTCGGTCTGCAGACTGAAGGGTTCCAGGTTCGATTCCGGTCAAAGGCATGTACATTGGTTGTGGGCACATCCCCGGTAGGGGGTGTGCAAGAGGCAGCTGGCCGATGTTTCTCTCTCATTGACGTTTCTAGCTCTCTATCTCTCTCCTTTCCTCTTTGTAAAAAATCAATAAAAAAATATATTAAAAAAAAGAAAGAAAGAAAGAACTAGAACCTCAGCCTTCCTGATGCCCTATGTGAAGTTCATTTAAATAAAAAAAAAGCTTGGTTCGTCTGCCTCTATGATATTCTACACATTTATTAGGGAGACATTTGTCTCTTTTTATCCTAAGTAAAGAAAGGAATTTCTACCATTTCTGCGGAGAAGAGTAACACTAAGGATTAGAGACGCTCCCCACTGTGTGTGTGTGTTTGGGGGGGGGGGCTGGAGGGGGCGGGGCGTGTGTGGTGGGAGTGGGTGTAGGGGAGAACAGTTCTATGAAGTCTGCCTGGACTCAGCTGTAAAATGCAGGTAATCCCTGAGTTACCTGACCCTCTCAGAGGAAACAATGCTTCCCTAGAAACCAGGACATTTGAATGACTGAAGAGCCCCACCTTCAGGTCAAGTGTTGAATGGCAGCGTAACTGACATTTGCGGAGTTTGAGCATTGCACGCGATGGAGAATGCCACTCCTGAATTTCTCTCACTATGATTAAAAAATGCCCAAAGTCTGGTCTAAATTAAGGGATGCATCCTCAAATGTAGAAGTCTTAAACATTTACCTCTAGCTGTAGTTTGATTATTTCAGTTTGTTTTTCCTTCTCTTGAATTCTTAACTTTGCATTTAACTCTGAAATTTCCATCTCCATTTTCTTCACCAGTTCTTTATTCTTTTCTTCATTTAATTCGACTGAATAAAACAAAGTATATAAATACAATTAATTCACCTTAAAATTTAAAAAATCTTATAGTTTTTAGTATTTTAAATGATACCTGAGAAAGTAAATTTTATTAATAAACACACACATAGTATTTTAGAAACTAAATGTGCAGCATACCTTTAGATATTTTTGACAAGCCTTTGCAAAATGCTTGAAACACAGAAGTCACCCATTGAATGTGTTTTAAACAAATAAAGTGATTTGTACCCTTAAGCAACAGTGACCTAGAGATTAAAGAGGTTAAACCGCATGCAATGCTCAGTGGCTAAAGACGGATAAAAGCCTAGGTTTCTAGGTAGAAAGCCTCCAAATTCCTGGATGACTCCAGAGCCACACCAAGCACCTGCATACTCTGTTCCATACAATTGGCCTCTCTGACATTCAATTCATGTTTTTATGTTTCATCAAATTTCCTCTTCCCTGAATTTCCCTATTGCTATAAATAATGCCTTACCATCCAAGATGGGAACCTCAAAGGACTTTCCTTTAGGGAGAAAGGAAAGAGTCCACTGGTCTACAACAAGCATAATGCACATACATAAGGTATCATTAAGAATGCACAACATACACTGATGAACAAAAACAGATCCAGAGATAGAGAAGCATTGATCAGACTGTCAGACCTCAGAGGGAAGGTAGAGGAGGGAGGGAGGTAGGGGGAGAGATCAACCAAAGGACTTGTATGCATGCATGTGTCCTAATCAATGGACACAGACACCAGGAGGGTGAGGATATGAGTGTGGGGGTTAGGGGGCAATGGGGGGATAAGGACACATATGTAATACCTTAATCAATAAAGAAAAATAAAATAATATTAAATAAATTTTAAAAAGAAAAGACTTTTAACACCCTTATGAAACAACTTAACTCTCAACATAGGCTCATAAGATCTGCTTTATTGAAGGAAGAAAATTTCACTAGTGAAATGATATTCAATATGCTGAGTATATAGATATCAAAGTTATGAATTAGACATTTTATATTAATTTTATACACTGTTTCACAGAAAATAATATTAAGTGCAAACACTGTGATTCCAATTTAGACATGTTATAATTTATATCACATAATTTAGGCATGAAACCTAAATTAAAACACATCAAGGCAGTGTTTATTCAAAAAAAATTAATATATGAATTTGAATTGTTTTATTATATCTTAGAATTCAGTAAATTAAAAATAAAAACTTACCTTTTTTCTGCATATCCTGATAAAGTTTCTTTAATTCTGTCTTATGTCCTTCCTCTTTGATTTTCATTTCACTTATAAGTTTGGCAATGCTATTCTTATATTCCTAAAGATGAAAATATATTCATTCTTCAATTTAATATGTACATGCTACTTTTGATTAATTAGAAAGGTGAAATTATCAAATTTTATATTAATTTTTATATGTTATCATATCTACAATAGAAGGTAAAGATATTGTTTAGTTTCAATCAGCTTTCAGAAGTACCAATTTCTGGTCTGAGAAGACAGAGACCATAGTGTCTTTTCACTTTTGCTTTCTGAATACTCATCACTAGTGTAATGAATAATACTCATTTCATAGATGCTTGAAACATTTTGTTTCATTTTATGAATAAATGCCATGACAGAAAAAATAGATCCAATAAAAGCCAAAGTTATACATCAGAGCCAATAGTAGGTACTATTCAATAGACAACCAGCTTACCCTAAAGTAGGATGAATCCTTATGAATGTGGGATGAACTTGTGTATGTAAAAATTATACAAACATCCCTAATTCCCAGGAAAGCATTACCCATCGTAAAGATTAGCTTTATAAAGGGGGGGAGGGGTTAGAATATAATGGATTTGGGATTTGAGACGGGCTCAGCAGGTGCCTGAGAAAGGAAAGAGTCCACTGGGAGCTTCTTAGGTTGTGGGAGCATATTATGCTAACATGGTTGTGGGAGCATTAGGTTGTTGATGAAAGTCCCCAAAGATAAAATTCACAATTTTCCCAGTGGTATGTCCCCCCATAAAGAAATCACTCACAGGCCCAAGATGGAGGCAGAGGAAAGGACAGTGGGAAGAATAGTGAAGAAGGCAGTAAGAAAGAGATAGCAATGAAGACAAGCGGTCAAGAAAAGCCCTGAACACTATGAGATAGGGACTTTGCTTTGAATCACTGTTGTATGCCCGCCTCCTAGTGTCTCTCTCCTGATATATATTTGTTGAATGAATGAGAGTGCCAACAAAAACTAAGTCAGAACGAATCTCAGAAAGGAATTGGGAGTGGGGAAAGATTAACCAAAGAACATACATGCGTAACTCATAAATACAGACAATAGTGTGGTGAAGGCCTGGGAGGAGCAGGTATAGGGTGGAGGGAATCAATGGGGAAAAAGGGGGGAGATCTGCAATACTTTCAACAATAAAGATAAATTTTAAAAATTAAGTGGGAAATTCTTAGCTTAGATCCAGTAAATAGGCTTTTGAGGATCCACTAACTTCCTAAAATTGTATGTAAAATTACACACACACTAGAGGGCCAATGCACAAAATTCATGCAAGAGTTGGCCTTCCTTCCCCAGGCTTCCGGCACTGGTTGCCCTCTGGCACCCAGGACCCGGGCTTCCCTCGCAGCCCAGGCTGCTTCTGGAAGGTTCTTGGAAGGATGTCTGGTCTAATTAGCATAGTATGCTTTCATTATGATATATGTAAATATGTACTGATGAACTTCCTCCTCAGAAAGGGCAACAGCTTTTAATAGATATTCAGTGATACTGAAGAGGTAAAAAAGCCCAGCTCTCCTGGCTTAGATGGCTATGACTAAACATAGAGGTACATCTGTCCAGGTTACATAAGTTCAAGGGGATCTAGTCCAGACTCATACTGTGATACTTATCCTGCCAGGCAATTTGCAGGAATGGCCAAACCTATCCAAACACTGACTTTGATTAAAGCTTTGCAGGTGAATTTCCATTCTTCATATGCATGTATCTAGGTTCCAAGGTGAGCAACTACTGAGCGGTTTTCATAAATTACTCCTGACTCAACGGTGCACTGCTCTGAGAAACGAGACAAACCTATTTACTTTTCATTCCCCATTGACTTTGCCATCTGAAGATGCCATCACTACAGTGGAATACTTCTCACTCCCACCCCTAGGACTGGAGACTAACTCTGTCTGGGCTGCGCTATCACACTGGATTCTTCTCCCCCTCTTCAGCCTGGGCCAGTCCTTCCTCTTTCTAAGGGGACCAAGTCCCAACAAGTTATTCTTGTTTGCCTTCTGGGAACCTTAAATGCCAAGAAATAGCCTCTGGTTGTAGTTTAGTTTTTATAAAGCTTAGGGATTCCCTGTCTACAAATTACAAAACCTCTCCCAGGCCCATAACATGCCTATTAAGTACCTCCAGAGTTTTTTCTGGGAAGTGGTTTTTCATGTTTTGGATGTGCCTGGAGGTTTTGTTCTAGAGAATTCTCATTGGGTTGAGGTCACCTTCAGTTTGCTCTGGACAATAGCTAATTTAGAATTGCAGTATCTAGGGCTGTGGTGTTTTCTCACCAATTTCCACCCTCTGAAAATCCCTATGATACTCTAGAAAAAGCAGTATTGTATGGCTAGACCCCTGAGACGAGAAAAGAGGTAAACATTTTCCCCCCTTCTCTCTGCCCCAATTACTCTCTGACTTCACTATCTATTGCTGAACTCTAAAGGCCAGCAAGGAAAGACTGGGAAAGAATCAGGAAAAAGGATAAAGAAAGGGGGAAAGTAAACAATGGGATTATTCCAGAGATGTTTAAATTGTCTCAGAATTGGTGATGAGAGACGGCATTTTCCAAGAGGGCGCCAGATGCCGGTTATTTCACCTGCGTGATACCGAGGAGCCCTGCAGGGCTTTAGAATTAGACTGTTTTTCTTCAGAGGCTCCTCGAGTGAGGAACCAGATTGAATTTAGAGATGGTCCTTCCAACTGAAGTTCTAAGTTTGATACAGATCTAACTAGAATTTTGGAAATCTTAGGCCAGAGTTGGACATATTGGCTCTCGGGAGATGGGACTCATTAGTGTAGTAAACCTCCCACAGGGCAGAGGGGTGGGAACTGGCATGCACCAAGCACCCTTTACGTTCTAGTGACTGCGTTGTGTATGTGTTTTATAGATGCTAACACTGTGCTGTTCTCATGGGAAAAAGAAAAGGTAACAGAGGGCACGGTGGCCCTGGAAGAGAATGAATTGGCGGGGAAGTACTCCCTTCATTTAAATGGTGCAGTAAAATTGCAACATATTACTCAAGTCTTAAAGATTAAAGACTCATTTACTTTGCAGTAAAAAAGTTCAAAAGTGCTAATAGAGTATATATACTCTAAAGTAAAAACTCTATTAACATAATTTAAAAATACGTAACAAAATAGTTGTGTTTTTTTGGTAGAAAGAAAAAGCACAAGAGACATATTAGTACATTACAGTCTGCAAGAAGACTAGAGTCCTCAAAATTTCTATTTCTTTAAAAATGTTATTACAAATTCTGGCACACACACTCATACATACATATATTTATTCTATATTTTGATTGTCTTTATTAATGAAAACAACCACTCTCCCCCCCCCCCCCCCCCCCCCAATTTAAGAAGGCAAATGCTCTACAGGGACTTGATTGATACAAAGATACATTCACTCACCTGTTCATGAGATTTTAACTTTTCTTTCATAAGATCAGCATCTCTTTTCAGTTGTTCATTTTTACCTGTGTAAAGAACAGCAAAGAGCATCCTAATATACAGCACCTTCAATTACATGGGAACATGTGTATCCTTTCAAGTTTCCATTCATGTATGTACTCAACCCTTGAAAACAGCATCTATTACACATCTACTGCATGTGCACAGAGTGCGTGAGACTGGGACGGTGAAACAAAAATATCAATCTTCAATGCAGCCCGTGGTGAGAGAGAGGTGTAAGTGGTTGTGAGTGTGATGGCCGCCCCGCAGCAGCCGTGTGTCTGCAGTGTGACCTGTGGGAGGAAAGCCAGGTCAGCTTGAGGTCAGGAGAGAGGATACTGAGGAGGAGGCCTCTGAGCAGAGACTTAAGTGCTAAGGCTCACCCTCGCGGGAGGGGGCGTTTCAGAAGGCTGGGCTGGGGTGAGCACAGCACGCATGGGACAGTGACCAGTGAAGTGTAGCACCGTTGGAGTAAACTGTGAGGAAGGTGTGTTAAGTAGGGTGGGGCTGTAGCCTAGTAGGAGGTCTGATTTTGAATTTTATTTTATGGAATCATCAGTGAATTTTACAGGGAAATTTGAATAGTGAAGTGATTATAGTTAAAAAGATTATTTTGCAGCACAGAGGCTGATGGGGGAGGAGGGGAGGCTTGACCCTAGAGGAATGGATGTCAGAAAAGGCAGATCAAGTAAGAAATAACAGGACCCTGAGTTAGGTCAGTGGCAGTAGGAGACAAAGAAAAAATGAAGATAAGGATTTAGATGACAGAGTCACCAGGAGCCTTAGTGGCTGATTGCAAAAAAGAAGGGGGTGCGGGGGGAGGAGGAGGGAAGAGAAGGGGGAATCTCCACCTTTTAGGTTTCTGATTTGGGTAAGTGAAAAATGTGCAACAGTTGGGGAAACATTAAAAGGGGAAAATTTCTAGGAGTGAGATAATGAACCTAAAGCTTTACGATGCTGTATTTGAGAACATTTCTGAGAAACATTTGGGTGTGGCCAAAGGAAGACTATCCTATAAGGTGACTGGGAAGTGTCCAGAGACCAGGAGAGAGTGGTACTAAGATAAGTAGTTAAAGGGAAGCTAAGCATCTCTCTCCTCCCACTCACCTCACTGAAGTTATCAATGCTTACAGCCTGTGTATTTCTTCCCCACTTTTTCCCAGCTTATACAACTACTAGAGGCCTGGTGCACAAAATTCATGCATGGGTAAGGTCCCTAGGCCTGGCTGTGATCAGGGCCTTCCTTCATTCCACACCGCCCCCTGGTGGTCAGCAGACATCATAGTGAACAATCAAACTCCTGGTCTCCTGGTCGAACTCCCGAGAGACATTTTGCATAATAGCCACATATATAGGTATAGATATATATGATATAGATATAGATATAATCTAAACACATCATGCATGTCTACTGGTTTCATTTGTTTTTACCAATATAAAATTGTACTATGCATATTACTTTGCAAAGAACTTATTTCTTAAAATTAGACATTCCTTCCAGTCTGTAATTTTCTATGCATCCATTTTTATAATTTTATGTAAGTAGGATCATAGCATCCATGTTGGGATACTCTTAGCAAAGTCTTTCCTCTCTCTTGTTTTCTTTCTGCCTTCTTCCTCTCCCTCTTTTTTTTCTCTCCACCTCCATACCCCTGTGTATCCTTCTGTGTTTTTCTCTGTGCTTTTGATCTCTGGATCATACATATGCATATATACATACACATTCTCATAGTTTTAGTCATATCTTTTGCCCATTATACTTTTTTTCATTTATCTTTGCTGGTCAATTTGAAGAGCTCTTTGTATATTGTAGATATTAAATTACATTAGTATTTGAAATCATGTTTTAAATAATTTATTTTTTTGACTTTTGTGTGACAAAATGACATGCCAAGTCTTCTCGTTGCTATTGTTGGTGTTCTTGTTGCATAAGAAAGCCTATTAGTCCTGCTTGGCTGGCACGACTCAGTGGTTGAGTGTTGACCTATGAACCAGGAGGTCACGGTTCAATTTCTGGTTGTAGGCTTGATCCTCAGTGAGGGGTGTGCAGGGAGCAGCCAATCAATGATTCTCTTTCATCATTGATATTTCCATCTCTCCCTCTCTTTCTGAAATAAAAAAATATTTTTAAGAAGTCTTTTCATCCTGTTTTTAAAAGTCTGTTAGTTCTGTTTTTTCCTTATATAGCATCTGAGGTTCCCAGAGTGGTTTTGCCATATTATGAAGAGTAGCACATGGCGTTAGATTGTACATGTTGCCTCGATTTTCCTTTAAGTTTGTATTCTCTTTACACTAAAGTCTTTCGTTCATCTGGAATTTATTTTTTTTGTCTAACTTACCTTTCAAATTATGTTGATATTCGATGGTCTGTTGTAGCCCTTTTACCATATTATGAAGAGTAGCACATTCTAAAGCATAAGAGATAAATTTATTTGAAGGTTATTTGCTTTCATTTTGGAATCATTCTGTCAAAGTTGAAAGACATAAAATAAAATACTGTTTGTGACAATGATCAGATCTTGATAAAGCTATCAGGCATCTCAAAGTAAATAACGTAACAACCACTTTTTAATCACCCTTAAAGTGAAATGCAATTCAGAATTTAGTAAAGAATTCTCTAAGGCACAATAAATCCAGTAGGACGGGGAGCCGCTCATGTACCTCAGCAAGACCGGCCCTAGAAGTGAGGCACACATGGACTGCCGGGGGACTTTGAGGAGCACATCCATGCGAGTTTCCCATGAAAGAACATCCCAGGGACAGAGAGCCGAGGTACAGCAAGTTTTGTTCAGGGATAGACAACCGGAGCTGGTAAGGTGGCATTTGGGATGAGACACTGCTTTACTTCCTCCCTGTCCTCGGACCTGTCCCCTTAGTTTTTCTGCCTGAGTTCTAGGGCAAGGCAGTAGCAACTAAAGGAGTAAAGACCCAACATGCTGAGTCACAGGGCATCAGCACTTTGGTGCCAATGACTTCTCCACGGTGGAAGACAAAGCCTTGCGAGCAGTAGTGCCCTGATGTGTGCGTGAAGCTTTCAGTGTGCTCTTGGGCACCACCAGCGATCGCTAAGCCTTTGATGGGTATCATTCCCACCATCTACTCAGACAAAGTTCCTGCCATCCTCCATTTTTTCTCTCTCTTGCTATTTCCCAGTAAGTATGATGGTCAAATTTCATGTGACAACCTGCTTCACGTATGTCACCGAGTTAGCTGCTACAATTAAAAAATTAAGGGGGGCATAGGCTCTGCTATCACTTGTCTTTGTGTCTTTTAGAAGCATGAGCCCAGTGATTCATGCAATATGAGACCTCAGTACTCAGCACATTGAAAACAGAGCTCTGAAACTGGAAGTATACCGGTTTTTTTTTGTTTTTTTTTTATGTGCATTTCACAATTTGAACACAAGGTGGCTCTCCCAACACATTTAAAAAATATATATATTTTATTGATTTTTCACAGAGAGGAAGAGAGAGGGATAGAGAGTTAGAAACATCGATGAGAGAGAATCATTGATCAGCTGCTTCTTGCACACCCCCTACTGGGGATGTGCCCACAACCAAGGCACATGCCCCTGCCCGGAATCGAACCCGGGACCCTCAGTCTGCAGGCCGACGCTCTATCCACTGAGCCAAACTGGTCCCGGCACCAACACATTTTTTTAAACAAAGAAAGCTGGCTCAATAAATTGTTCTTTAGAACACCCTTCATTATTTTAGAATAGATTTTAATTCTTGTTGCAAACATTTACCCAATTATCATTCTAATAGACTTTATAATATAGTTTGAACAATACTATTGTCCTATTCAACTCTTAAAAACTAGAGTTCAGAATACTAAACTACTATATAATTTAATCAATTGTTGAGCTCAAATTTAAGCTCTAAAATTCACTAGTAATTTGCATCTTAACACCTATTTCATTAAGCAGTTGGAAATGTTAAATACAATTATACATGACAATAATTTTTACAGCACTTGGTCCTCAATACTAACATTATTTACCATCTTGAAATGGCAAAGAAATTCTTTATCTGGTGTCAAATGTGGAAAATAAAATACCAAGATCTCATTCTTTATGGTTGAACAAATTCAACTGCATACAGAGTTTGTTCTTCTCTAAGGGAATTAGCACCCACTTGACTTTATGAGTTGTCAATCTTACTAGTTCGTTTACTTCTGCTGTGTATTATCTAGCCAGAGGCCACTAGATTTAAAATGAGAACTGGACGTTTAAAAAGTGTTTAATTATATTTTCCAACATAAGATACACATGAAACACAAAGGTAGTGAAAAGTGACTATCTCTGCAATCCTGCCCCCACACTAACCGCTTCCCTCCCTGAAAGCAAGCCCCACAGAGAAGCGCCACCTGCTCAGTGCACAGCTCCAGCGCAGGGAGCCCAGGCTCCTGGGACACACAGGTGAGGGTGGGTGCAGCTGAGAGGGCGGCCATGGGAGCTGAGCAACACGTGGTGTGGGTGTCTCAGGACAGAGGGGAGAGCGTCAGACTGGGACCGCCTGTTTTAACACTAATTTATTTATTTATTTATTTATTTTATTTTGGAGTTATTGTGAAGCAGGAACTCAACTGTATTTCCCCCCATGATTTTGAAAGCCTGGATTGATTCTTGGATTTGCCATTTCTTAGCTGAGTGGACTCAGATAAATTATTTAACTTCTTTTATCTTATTTTTCTTCATTATTGACGTTGAGTAATTAATCCTATTTGTCCGTTAGGGCTATATTAAAGATAAAATGATAGTCTAGAAAGTGCTGTGTGAATTTCGAATATTTTACAAATGCATGGTGCAATATTAATCACTGTTGTACCCCAAAGTACTCTCATGATATTAGTATTCCTCCAGGCAGCCAAGAACTAACCTTCTTTAAGTGAGGCCTCATTTGTTTGCATTCCTTTTAATAAACAGTTAGCTTTTTCCAACTGCATATTCAGTATGTTGTTCCTTCCAGCAGTTTCTACCATTTTCTGTAGAGAAAACAATATATATCATAACCAGATCAATGCTGTTAATTTTATTTCCTTACCTAAGCATATAAAGCTAATGAAAATACAGACTACTTAATATCTGACATAACTTGAACCCCCTTCTTTCTAACCATTCAACCCTGTCCCATGGTTAACAATTCTTCATGTGTTTCCCAAATATTTTATGATTATATAACTGAAGGGAAGGATCATATTATACTCTGTTCTACGTTGCACTTAGTACTATTCTCTTGAGATGATGTCATATAAGCACATCCAGATCTACCTCATTCTTTTAACAGCTGCACTGAATTTCATCTATGCATATTCTGCAATTTATTTAAGTAGTTCACTATTGAGGAAAATTTGTTGTTTCCACTTTTTTGCCCATACGGACAATAAATAAGCATTCTTGAATATCTCTCTCTGCTATCTTTGTGAATAGTATAACAGCTGCCATATACCCATCAAACACCTTCAGAAACGATCAATTCATGACCAGTCTCATATTGTCTATACTAGGGGTGTCGAACTCAATCAGAAAAGGGGCCAAAATCTAAAATCCAGCCTAAATCGCAGGCCAAATGGTTTACTGAACAGTCATAAACTGTCATTGTGATGGAAACGCAGCAGAGTGCAGTGATGACAGCGCGGTGCGGGCCACATTGCAAGGCCTGGCGGGGCGGATTTGGCCCGCGGGCCTTGTGTTTGACACATGTGGTCTATACCCACTTTCCTATTATCTTCACTTCTGAATTTATCTCAAAACAACTCCCATAAATTTACTTCATCCAGAAATATTACCATCTATATGTGTCTATAAGAGACAAGACTCTTATGCCGAAGCCGGTCTGGCTCAGTGGTAGAGCGTCGGTCTGTGGACTGAAAGGTCCCGGGTTCGATTCCGGTTAAGGGCATGTACATTGGTTGCGGGCACATCCCCGGTGGGGGGTGTGCAGGAGGCAGCTGGTCGATGTTTCTCTCTCATCGATGTTTCTAGCTCTCTCTCTCTCTCCCTTCCTCTCTGTAAAAAATCAATAAAATATATTTTTAAAAAAAGAGACAAGACTCTTAAAAACCACCATTATCATATAAAAAATGAACAATATTTCTAATTTAAAATGTTTAAGATATAATAGACATTTATAAAATAAGCTCCAAAAATTTTGCACCAATTCCTTTCCTTAGATTAGGGGTGTCGAACTCAATCAGAGAAGGGGCCAAAATCTAAAATCCAGCCTAAATTGCGGGCCGAATGGTTTACTGAACAGTCATAAACTGTCATTGTGATGGAAACGCAGCAGAATGCAGTGATGACAGCGCGGTGTGGGCCACATTGCAAGGCCTGGCGGGACGGATTTGGCCCGCGGGCCTTGTGTTTGACACATGTGCCTTAGATAAATAGTGCTAAATCTCTTTCTCTCTTATCTTGGTAAGAATCACTTGTTTTTAAAAAAACAAAAACAAAAAAACAAACACCATGCTCTTTGTTTAAAAGCTTATAATAGCGGCCCAACCAGTGTGACTTAGTGGTTGAGCGTCAACCTATGAACCAGGGGCCACGGTTTGATTCCCAGTCAGGGGCACATGCCCGGGTTGGCGACAGGAGGCAGCCAATCAATTAAAAGCTCATAATAGTACCTCAAAATACTTATCATAGTGAAAATTCTTTTATGATGACATATTACATTGTGTGGATGAAAAGCAGAAATAGAGAAGAATGATAAAACAGGAGAGAAAATAAAGGTAGGTGTTATTTCCTCTCCCCTTTCTGCTTCACAAGCCCAATCTCCAAATCTTTAATTTATCCATCTATGTTTTCTCAACAGCTATCCCTGCTCCTCTCCCAGGTGGAGGAACAAACAAATGTTTGCTTGTGGGTTTGGTCTGTCATGAAACGTGTCCAGAGTTGGGGAGGGAGGACTTCAGTGGGTCTGCTTTTACATAGAGAGAGGAAAGGGGAGAGACAGAATAGGAAAGGCTACAAAACCTTTTAGTCATAGTGGTAAGACACTGAGGACGGAGTCTACTTCAATTCTTACTAAATCATTCCTGAGTTTACGGACATCTTGGGCGTTTAAGTAGGTATTTTCCCGTTAACTTTAGCAAAAACGATATAAATTATTTACTGCCTTGACCCAGAAACATTTTGATGCATTAGAACAAATGAGCCAAAACCATATATATTTTAAATATGGATTTTTAAGGGCTTACTTAGCAAAGTACATCCCCATTGTCTTTACCCTGCTCATTTTGGGCTATACATTTTCTTTCTTTCCAATTCCTTCCACTGGCAAAATCTGTTCCACGTTTCCCCTATACACCTTAACTGTTTGATACCTTTACATACCTTTTCTATCTGTGAGAAGTCACTTAAAAGTTTGTCAAGATTCACACTGCTAACCTTTTTCACACATCCATTGCTGCTTTGATTCATGTCCAAACTAGTGCAGAGTAAATACTGTCAAAACAAATAACAAATAAAATCTAAAGCACTACAATAGTAGTAATAAATACTAACGTTTCTGTCCTCTACTCAGAGCACCTACTTGAGCTCCATTCCACTTAGAAGTTTTGTCGTGCCCATTAACAATAGCCAGTGCGTTCCGGCTTCTCCACTGATCTCCAGCTCCGCCCTCACTGTGTTTTCTCTAGAGAAATCTAACATGATTGTATCGATACATTGTATCATACACATGTAAAAATTAAATGTCCCTACCACATAAAAAATAATTATGCATCTGTTCAACATTCATTCCTTGCCATCAGTATGGCAGGACTTAAAATCTGATATATCATTAGATCTTTAAATATAGTATTCTCAATTTAAGGTATTTAAAATACCTCTCATGCTACAAATATTTTTGCTGTGTTCTGCAGTTACTGCTATGGACTGAATTGTGAAGTACTACTGTATCTCACAGTGACTATGCTTGGAGACAGGGTCTTTAGGGAATAATTAAGGTTAAATGAGGTCATTAGAGTAGGACTGTGGCCTTATGAGAAGAGGAAGACTAGGCATTCCTGTACACACTAAGAAAGGACTAACTTTGCAGTCCTGTCTCTACCATCCATTAAAGAAGAAAAAGGAAGATTAAGAAAAAGATTTAAAAAAAGGGAGAGCTCTCCCTCTCTCTCTCCATGTGCTCACACAGAGGAAAGGTCACGTGAGCACACGGTGAGAAGGCGGCCACCTGCACCTCAAGGAGAGAGCCCTCACGGGATACCAACCCCACTGGCACCGTCATTTTGGACTTCCGCCCTTCAGAACTGCGAGAAAATAATTTCTGCAGTTTACGCCACGCAGCATGTAGCATTCTGTTAGAGCACTTTGGAGCAGATTTTTCATATGGTGTTTGGTAAACAAAAGACATCTGGAAATTAATATGCTCACAGCAGTCACTCAGTGATGCCATCCTCTTGTTATTCTGTGTAAGGACAACCTTTGGAGTAGCCAGCTGGCTGATGCAGGGGAAGAATAAGAGTTTGCTTGTTCCTATGGAACCAGTCCTGGAAATGCAGGAAGGATGCGGAAAGGCTTCTGCAAACCAGCCAGCACTTCGATGTGGGGGTGTGAGAGTGTCTAGAAAAATTAATGCCATCTAAAAGTATGAGACACGGTGTTTAGACTTTTCTCTGGCAAAGAGGAAGAAAACGCAAATTTGAAGTTCAGGCCTTCTAGACCGAGGAAGGAGCATGACGTGGGAAAGTGGCAGTGGCAAGTAGTCCAGAGTCAAAGGTTGGTAAAAGCCTAAAGTAATTATTCAATGTCATTTGGGAGGCGTATGTTATTTAAGATGAGGGACATCAAAATACAGACATTGCTTGATGATTTGGTCATTAAAAAGTTCCATGTCCTCCTCTTTTTAAGATTATATTACATGAACAACTATAGTGTTTTTTATTTTATTATTATTTTAAAAAAATATATTTTGATTTTTTACAGAAAGGAGATAGTTAGAAACATCGATCAGTTGTCTCCTGCACATCTCCCACTGGGAATGTGCCCGAAACCAAGGTACATGCCCTTGACTGGAATGGAACCCGGGACCCTTCAGTCCGCAGGCTGACGCTCTACCCACTGAGCCAAACCGGTTAGGGCTATTAGTGGTTTTTTAGATCTGAAGAGAATTTTAGCTTAACATTTTCAATTTTTACTGAATTATTATCCCATGTATTACATATTTGAGCAAAACTCTATATAAAATCCCTTACATGCTTAAAAGTTGGTCCTTCAGGCAGGACAATTATCGTAATAGCATCCCAAGATAAACACAGTAAAATTCCTCTTGGGGTAAGATGTAAAAACCACCACTATTGATATGCTGTTGTTATTTAATAGAACTATACAATCATTTGACATAGCTAATGCATAATCCTCCCTCCTAGCTTTGTGTTCCTTTTTGGCTCCAAACGTTTTATTAAATAACAAAGGCTTACAGGGCTTTGCCTTTTACCTATATGGTCCCCAAAATTCTAGTTTAGCACCTTAGTTGGGATTCGGGAATCTCTAGTTTAACAACTCCGCCAGGCGATTCTCATCGTGAGAGAAGTGTGGGAAAGACTGCCTTAGAACACGGCTTCCGAGCTCACAGCGTTTTCACCCGAGCTTCCTTTCCTCCAGCTGCCTCCCTAAGGAGCCCCGGGGGTCCTCCCGGGACACCGCCCTGATCCTGATCGCCACCGGCCGTCCCGTCCCCGGGGTCCCGTCCCCGGGGTCCCGTCCCCGGGGTCCCGTCCCCGGGGTCCCGTCCCCGGGGTCCCGTCCCCGGGGCCCGCTGCCTCCTCCCGCCCAGCTCAGGCCCCCGGGTCCCCTCCAGGGGCGGGGGCGGCGGCCAGAGCCCTCACACTCCGGGTGCCCTTCGGGGCCCAGCCCCCCGCGGCCGCAGGTGCAGGCGGCCGGCGGCCCCGTTCCTTCCTGGGCCGCGAGCAGCCCACCAGCTTCCACGCCGGCCCGGCCTCTCTCCCGCCCCCTTTCCCTCCTCAGCGGCCCCGGGGATTCCCTCAGCCCCGCGCCCGGGCTCCGGGCCCCCCACCCGCGTCCCGCGTCCCCGGAGCCCAACTCGCACCAACGCCGAGCGCCGCGGCCCTCCTCCCGCGGAGGCTGCGGGGCCGGAGGGAATATCCGCGGGAAACAACCGGATTCGAACTGGCGCCGGGGTTTGGGGTGTTGCCCGCGGCGGTCAGGCTCCTGCCTCTCCCCGCCCTCCCGGAGCCGGTCCCACCCCGAATGCCCTCCGCCCGGAAGCCCGTCCCCCAGCAAAGGGTCCGCCCTTCTCCTGGCCCCGCCCCTCCGGCCCCGGCCCGGCCCCGCCCTCCATCGGGCACCGCCCCCCTCCGGGCCCCGCCCTCCTCCAGGCAGGGCATTCTTTTTAAATCCGTTTTATGTTAATTTAATTCTTAAACCAGACAGAGAAACTAAAAGAGTAGAAGAGAAAAATTTTCCTCCTTTACAATACTCCCAGCCTAAAAACTGGTTGTTTGTCTCTTATTTATGAAAACTAAAATTCATTATAATGATCCATTTTCAACTCAATGAATTATCTTCCTGATACTGATCTAAAAGGAAATAGTCCATTATCTAGAATCAGTAGGAATGCTAGTCAGAGAAACAGGAGCATAATGAAACTAAGGATTATTAAACGTCATCCTGCTGTTTGAACCCGTTTCAGAACCACTCAGAAACGTATCTTACTGGGATGCACATGATTTTAGGCAATCAATTAACTTCGTAGGCTGCTTTGGTGGTATCAAACGATAAATAAAGGCAGATTAAACGTTTTAAGCGTTTATATGAGAAAAACTCAATTCCATGGGCAGTGCCTAACCCTATGTGTTAGGAGGGCTCTACCAACAGGAGCTGGGGAGAGACTTTTATAGAGAAAAGGGGAAGGCAAAGCAAAGCAAGAAAATTGTTGATTGGCTGTAGCTCAGAGTCTAGTTGGCCGTGATTGGTTGTTCTTAGAGTTTGATTCCTCAACCTTGAGGCATTTACAGGCTTGGATTTCGGTCTGCTTACAGAGGCTACGATGACATCAGATCCACCTCAGTCTAATGGCTTCCTTGTTTAACTAATTAACTTAATTAACCTGCCAGCATTGTGAGACTAGGCGGCGTAGTCAATGACTGCATGTCAAAGCCTCTAGAGGTAAACACAAGAGGCATCTTCTAGGAACCTTCGGTCTGAGCCCATTTTGCCTACCTGAGATGTTTCTGTCCCCTGGCCCCTGCGCCCAGTGTCTGTCCACTGTATTACTGCAAAATGCAGCTAGTCCGGGAATTGAGAAAACAAGACCTCAGAGGAGCCAGCTGTTAGTTCTGCCGGGGGGTACGGGGGGAGCTTTTACAGTGCAGGTAATTCTTGTAGAAGCCTGGGTGCGCACTGTCCAGGCTGAGGAAGTAAGAAGATAATGTCAGCAGGTGACTGTGGCTGCTGTCTGCGCAGGTCTTGCTGATGCTCCTCTCCTCCTTGGGAATCGCAAATCTCTATGCAGGCAGCGCCCTCTGGAGGTGACTTGGTGTGGGCACTGCCTGAGAGAGATCACTGCCTGGCCTGAGACCTGGCCCAATAAGAAAGCCACTCCTAAGCTGAGTCAGGAAATAAAAGGAAAATATTGAAAAAGAGCCAGAGCCCCAGGACTAGGTGGGAATGACTGAGGGGGGTGGGGGTGGGGGGTAGGAGGTGAGAGCACCAGATGAATGCCTCTGAGGAAGGTAAGAGTTAGGTAAGAGGGTGACAGTTGAGTCTCTCTTAGAGCCTGGCTGTGTAGCTAAGAAAGGGACTTCCTTTGCTTCTGATAAAGTCAATTTGTACATTCCCTGGATGTCCCCCCAGTGGCCCAGCCCAGGTCACAAAACTAAGCTTAAGTCAGCCTGCACATAAGGGAAACACCTGGAAGGAAAGCTAACAGAGACCACTAATCATCCTCCAACTCAGCACCACCTCTCACCCTGGCAAAGAGGACCTCCTGGCCTCAGAAGGAAATCCCCGCCCTTCTTGCCCATCCTAGCGCTCTGTAAACGCCCCCGAATCCCTCTGGCAGAGGCGCCCTGCTTGGGAGGCACTGTAGGTGCCCAATCCATGGGCTGTTTTTCCTTGAATAAAAAACATTAAACTCATTATTAACTTGTTTTGGTTTTGTTATTGGACACTTCTTTACTTTTTTTCTCTTTTTCAGCAAAACAAGCAAGAATTTACTGGTTGCAGCAAAACACACTTAGGACAATGAAACAAGGAAGGGCATGGGAGAAGCCACTGGAGAAGCTAGGCTGGGCTGCTTTGGCTCACTAGGAAGTCAGAGAAAAGGGGGGTGTGGGGACAGTTTCAGGGGGTTAGTCCCCCTGGTTGCAAGCCACCTGGGGTCACTTAGAATTTAGGAGATGCTTGCCTGCATTGAAGGCTTGGGGGGAAGGGTGTGGAAGAGGGCTTTGCATACTCCCCTGTCATCCTTTCTCACTCCCACCAGGTGAACAAGCCTGAGTTGCTCCACTATAGAGGCCATAGCCTGCCAAATGCCCGGTAGGTAAGTGTGTCCATCCCAGGTCATCCGGCGCCAGTCAAGCCACCAGCTGACAGCCGATGAATGACTGAGTGAGCCTCCCGGGATGGATAGCTGACACAGGCAGACAAACTGCCCAGCTGGGTCCTACCCAAATAGCCTACCCACCAACCTGTGAGCAAATAGATGCTGGTTGTATTGAACCACTAAGTTTTGGAGGGTATTTTTAGGCAGCAAAGGCTGAGTGATTGCTATTATTTGAAACATGATAGAGCGCAAGATATCCACCATGGAAAGGAAATTAACTTAAAAAAAATGCATTGCCATTAAAAAAAAAGAAAGAAATAATACTCTTTCAAATTAGGTAAAATATGGCTTTTCCGAATCTGAAGTGATAGTTTAGGAGACTGAGGTGTGAGGTAATCTGACCCTGGACTCAACGGTGGAGGGAGGGTGTTAATGAGAGAATGGGTTGTGGGTATTTCAGAGACTTCAAAGCCTCATTTCTGAGCAGGGTTACTGATGACATTTTCATTTACGAAGATCCCCTCTATTGTGAATAATTACAGATTTGTGTGCTAACAGTTGTCCTGAACAGCCCCAATCAGTGAAGCTGCTGGAAAAATCCTAGATTCTGCAATAGCCTGGGTTTAACTCGCTAAGCACTGGCTCATGAGACTGAACACAACAATTTACAAAATTTTTTAAAGAGTAAAATAATAGGAACAGCAAAATAGGAATCCCTTGACTGAGAAAAAAAGCTTCACAAACTAGAACTTGCAAGTTTATTTCCCTGCATTTTGACTTTTGGGAGAAAGAGATATATGACAAGGATACATTTCAGTAGGAATCTAAAAACATGTTACATATTATTTTATAACTCTAAAATAATAAATATTCATTATATAAAATGCAGGAAATTAAATCAAAGGAAAAATAAGATAAAAATAAGATTTAAACACCCATGTTTACTTGCCAGAGGTAACCATTATTACCATTTTGATGTATCCTATATAATAAAAGGCAAATATGCAAATCGACCTAATGATGAACCCACTGGTTGCTATGACATACACTGACCACCAGGGGGCAGATGCTCAATGTAGGAGCTGCCCCCTGGTGGTCAGAGCGCTTCCACAGGAGGAGCACTGCTCAGCCAGAAGCCAGGCTCACAGCTAGCAAGTGCATCAGCCATGGCAGGAGCCTCTCCTGCCTCCATGGCAGAACTAAGGATGTCTGACTGCCAGCTTAGGCCGGGTCTCCATGGGGAGCGGGCCTAAGCCATCAGTTGGACATCCCCTGAGGGCTCCAGGACTGCAGGAGGGTGCAGGCTGGGCTGAGAAACCCCCCACTGAATGCACGAATTTTGTGCCCCAGGCCTCTAGTATACCATAAATCTTATGTAACACACA